CAGGCACCCAAATATTTGTCTAAAAGGCAGGGGGGGGAAAAAGAACTGACAAACCCCCCCAGGCTGGACTGTGATGCCCTGGGAAATGGCCTTTACCTGTAACACACATCAGAGGTGAGTGCAGGGCTCTCCTCCAGAGGAATGCTCCTCACACAAAGCCATTTACACCTGCCCTACTTTGGATGTGGAAAATACCCACAGCCCCTGGGGCTCGTTGGACTCGTGTGCCCCAGCCCTGGGACATCAGAGCCTCCTCTCACAGTGACAGGACACCTCATCCTGCTGTGCTGTCCACATGCAGAGAAGGGAGTTAGTGCCTGCAGTGACCACATTTCCTCCCTAAGGAACCTCCTTGGAGCGCCTCAAGAGGGGTTTAAAGCACAGGTCGAGAAGTCCAAGTGGTTTTTACACGGAAGGGATGAGACCTGAAAGGCTGCAGGGATGAGAAATGAGACTATTGTGGTTAGCACAACTGATCTCAAACCAGATACTGCGACAGAGAGAAAAGGATGGGCACGGTGTTCAAAGGCCAGGCATTTCTCAGTGTCTGTCAGCAGGAGTTCCCTGCAGCACCCTGGCTCCCTGTGCAGAATTCCAGCTGGGCTCACAGGCAAGCATCCTCAGTCCTGTTACAAACCACTGGGGGATCTTTTACTGCACCGTGTGACATCCCCAGGGCATCCTCCCCCAGTGCAGGGACCCTGCAGGGACAGACCCCATGGTTCCTGCAGATGGGGAGCAGGACTCCAGGAATGACTCAAGCCAGCCTGGGGCTCCCTTTATCCAGAGCAAAGCTTCCAGCCCTTCAGTCACAGGCCACATTCCCATTCCCTGCCTTCACACTGTTAACTCAGGATATACACAAATTTCTGCTACAAGGAACAGGCTCCAAGATTCTCAGAGCTGAATATTCTATTAATTTGAATTGGGACTAGTTGTGGTAAATTGATTTTTTTAATGTGTTTATCCTCTAAAGGGGCTTTTTTTTTTATTTTTTTTTCCTTCTTAAATGCTGATTTGCTGAAACTGTGCCTATCCAATAGTCATTACTGAAATGCAGGGAAAGCTGCCAAAAGAAGCAATGCCTTCTGGACTAAACAAGGGATTTATTACTGAGCAACCACAGCACTGGGAAAAATCCATCACAAACTTATTGATTTAAACTGATTGTAAGTAATCACACACAATTTATATTAAGTGAAACATACTGCCATCTAATTTAGACTAAGTGAACAGAATGCTACTGCTCTGAATTCTGTTTAAATGCAAACTCTAATTGATACCCAAATATAAATAATTGAGACTTTCAGAAAACATGAATAAAATATTTTGTTATCTCCGTTTATTATGTATCAATAGATCATTTTTACCTATTTAAGACATGGTTAGACAGCAATTATTATATTTCAGCCTCAGGGCAGGTTCAATGGAATGGGACAGGAGCAGTGTGGAGAGAAGCACTCGATGTGTGGGATGCAGTTTGAGTAACTTCAACTTGATTTTAATAAATAAACCTCAAACTTTGCCTGCCTTCCACCCCAAATGTGATTAAATCAAGTTGTGCATTTACTCAAACATGGATCTCTCAACTCCAGGGGAAGCATCTGGGGGTGAAAATTGTGTATTATCACTGCAGCCCCCCAGATTCCCTGCAAGATCCCATTCAGGGAATTGTGCTTGTCAGCCCCTCTGCAATGTCACATAACTGGAACCCAGACCTCAGCAGCATCAGTCAGTCCCATAATTAATTTTATTTCTAAAGAAAAGTTTGAAGGTATTTGCTGTCCTTTTCAACTGTCAGCGTGTAAACACTGTCAGGAATTTAAAAAAAAATTAAATCTTGATCAGAATTCTCTCTCAGCTGGCTATTAACATTTAAGGATGTAAGAACATATCACTTTTTATTAACAAAACCAGCTGTTTACAGCAGGAACACACCAGTGTGCCACACCTTCAACACTACACTGCCTCCATGGCTTTTAAAGACCAGAAGCCCCCTCAAACCTTTTCCTATGGCAGTTCCATCTCAGGTAATTTTTAATTACTGACTGGTACCTCATTTCCCAACAGGATCACTTTGTGCCAGGTCACAACACGAACAACTTGGAAGATTCATCCCAAACATTGCTGCTGCAGGCTGGGTTCAGCCAGCTCCTCTCAGCTGCCCCTTTGCAGGGAGGTGCCTTTCAATGTGAATTAAAGCAGGAATAAAGTGCTCTGATGCTTTCTGTCAACTTGAAGTTTTTTAAATACTGCTCTAACACATGCTGCAGTTGTGAGTTTGGAGCTGGGCCTGCAAGGAGCTGCATGCACGTGGAACAGGTGCCCATAACTGGCCTTGTTACAATTCAATTAAATCCATTTCCAGAGTGCATTGCACCACTGGGCCCTGAGGAATTTCTTCTGCTCCTGGAGCTTATTAAATTGCTGGATATCCTCCACAAGCTCTGCACTGAAACCATCATTTATTCCTATTTACCTGCTTAGCACGAGCCACCTGGTAGCTGTTCTTTCTGCTCAACCAGACTCTTCCATGTCAAAACTTCCCCCATTTTTACAATAATCTGGTTTTTAACACCAATCCCCCAATCAAACACTGCCAAACACTCCCTGGCAGCTGCTCTGAGATGGAATAATAGACCCTGTCCTGCTGGGCACTGCTAAATTGTCCCACACACACCCACAGCCCTCGGGTAGGACAAGCAGGACTTAAATCTGGAGGAGCTACTACCAGGAGCAAACCCTAATTCACAGGATTTTTAAATCAAAGTCACTGCCACTGCACAGCAGCCTTTTAGCAGAGGTTTTTTATCCCATCATGTGAACCTTGCCACATTAACCCCGTTTCTACCCAAACCAGGAACAGCTGCACTGCCCCTTCAAAGTGAGAAGAATTAGCAACTTAGAGGAGTAAGTATGAATCCTTTCTCTGAGGTGTAAAGTTACTTATTAATAAATAGAAGAAAAGCCTCAGTCAGAGATAAACTGTCACAAGGGAAGGAAGTAAAAAAGGTTTATTTTCTCAAGGAATGGCTAAGGTTGAGCAGGTACAGCTAGCAGTTTTTCTGCTGTGTTTTCCCCACTCTGAGTGGGAACACACCCTGTGCACCCAGGGCAAGAAGAACACTGCTTCCCACCTGCCCTGGGCCACAAGAACTCATCACTGTCCTGTTTTGGAGCAGACAGGAGACCTGCAGGATCCCAAGAAGCTCCTGGGAAAGGACCCTGGTGGTCCCTGCCCACCTCAGCTGGGGCTGGAGCCTCCCCCAGGGTGAGGCCACCCAAAGACAAACAAAGGCAGGTTTGGAGAAAGCCTCAGCCCATTTGAAAATGCACTGACCAGCCCAGAGCACAGTTCCAGGCTTTTAGAGAACGCAGCCTCCATGGCAAACGTGTTTTCTCAGGAGTCAAAATAAAGATGCACATGAAGCTTCAAACCCTGCAGAATCCATAAGTGCCTGAACCTGACAAACAGCAAAACCCTTTCTTTACACACAGATTGTCTCACCACAACTCCTGGGAAGCTGCTGCTGAGTTCAGTGATTCCAACTTTGCCTCACCACAAGCATTTTGTGACTTTATGAAAGCTGAAGGTTTATATGCTTGAGACACCTGGAGATTTTCACAGGTCACCACAGAACTCGGATGCTGAGCTCTTGCCAGAAGTTGGAGGAGTGAGCAGAGGCGAGCAAATATTTGAGGTGTTTAGCCCCAAAGCCCAGGAGTGACTGAGCACCTGCAGAAACACGAGGTTTTGGGAGGCAGCAGCACGGGGCAGCTTTTAAGAGGTGTGAGAACATCACTCAACGCCTTTATCTCAGCCCTGGGTGCTTATGAAGGCAGCAGGGCACAGAGCCTGGCTGGCCTCAGGGCTTTTAATCACTGCTGTGATTTTATACCAACTCCAGGTGCAAAGGTGGGGCAGGAGGGGCATTCAGAGGGGCTGCTTTGGGACCAGAAAAAATATGAGATTACATTGAGATGGAAGATTGGTATTATCAAATCAATACTGTACAATAAATACAGCAAGTGAGTTAATCCAATTAGCTGAGTGGAGCAAGATCAGTGTGCTGGTGGAACAAAAAGATTGTGAGAGGCTGAAATTAAATGTACCCAAAAGAGAGGAGCAATGAAAACAACCCTCTAAAACAATGCCTTTGGTGACTGTGTGAGTTTGAAAGCTGAACCTGAGCACAGATGTCATCCTGGGATTTTTTGGAGAGTTTATCCCAGAGGATGGACAGGAACAAGTTTCTCCACAAGTGAAAACAGGACAATGCCAAAATCCTGCTTGTTAAACTGTTTGCTAAATACCTTTGCATTGTGATACACTGCCAAGGAATAAAACCAGCCCTGGAACACTGCAGCTACGTGCACAAGCTTATTAAACTCCCAGCACAGCATCCCCAGGGAATATTCCAGCAGTGGGATCGAGCAGGGAGCTGAGGAAAGGAGAGAGGAGGAACAGGAATTCCAGCCAGCTCTCAGCACTGGAATATCCCACAAAACACATCCCAGCAGTTTCACGTGCAAAGCCAAAATGTTGGGAAGAACACCATCTCTTCAGAGGATTAGGAATTAAGTGAACTGCACATTAGAGATAAAATAGTGGAGCGCTTGTCTTTATTCCTAATAATAAACATAAGGCATTAAGCTACACAGCATGATTAACTCCTTTCAACTCCTCACTGCTACTGCTGAGACAGCAGTGTGGTACTTGCACAGAGACACTACAGAAATACAGAGAGATTAGGTTAAAATTAAGTGAATTTAGGGCAGGCAAAAATGCTCCAGTGCAACCCAGAAGGGATGAGTCTTTGTTCCTGTAAAGAGCAGGTTTCTGTGATTAGGTTCCCCATTTATACAAAAACCCTAAACAAAGCAAACAACCAGAGAATACTTCAGTCTGTGAGATACAGAGATGCTAAAAATACAAACCACTCCAAGCATGAAACAATCAGCTCAACACATAGAAGGTATCAGCAAGGCCCAAGACTTACCAGACGCTGGGGGACACAAACACTCTCCACAGGATGGACAAAGCTCTGTCCTCAGCACGAGCCATTATTCAGTGTAACACTGAATTCATCAGCTGCAGCCTGGCCTGGTTTAGGATGGCTGGAGGAAGAGAAGGAGCAGACCAAACCTTCAGGCTCCTCTCCCTCCAAGCCAGGTCAGGTTTGGAGTTCAGCAGCCCAAGAACAAACTCCTGCTTGTTTCCTCCCCTTGCCATCCCCTTCCACCTGTGGGGGAATCTCACCTGACAGCTGTTATCCATCAGATCCCAGCCTGAAGAGTTTGTTACCTGCCTGAGAAAACTGCAACCCTTAAAGCACTGAAAAAACCCTGCCCTTAAAGCACTGAAAAAACCCTGGCACCAAAATCCCTCTGTTACAGCAGAGCTGTGCCCTGTCTCTGCACAGTCCTGGCTGTTCCACACCTGGGGAAGGAAGGTTCCACACCTGGGGAAGGTTCCACACCTGGGGAAGGTTACACACCTGGGGAAGGAAGGTTCCACACCTGGGGAAGGTTCCACACCTGGGGAAGGTTCCACACCTGGGGAAGGAAGGTTCCGTTCCACACCTGGGGAAGGAAGGTTCCACACCTGGGGAAGGAAGGTTCCACACCTTTCCCTGCGCTCCAGAGCCCAATGGGACCAACCCAGCAGCTCCCCAGGGACAGCTGAGCTCAGCCTGGCACAGGACAGCTCTGTGCTCTGCCCAGGGCAGGGCTGGGTGCCACACACACCTTCCCTGTGCCAGCCTGAGCCCGCAGGCGTTTGCCACCAAAACACGCAAGGCAGAATTAGAACTGATGAAAATTTTCCAGGCAAACATTGGAAAAAGGCAATGGATCCAAAGGAAAATGCTCCCTGGGATACATTCTGTCCCAACAACGGGGGCCAGAGACTCTGGGGCTGCAGGGATTTCACAGCATCACAGGCAGAGCACACACAGGAATCACCTGGAAGGTTTTTGCTTTAACTCTGCAGCACCAGCCTAGGAAAGTTGTGTCTACTGAAGCTGGCAGAACTTTCAGATCCAAGCTCTGTGCTCCCTTCAGGGAAAATATGAGAAGGGAGCCTTTGGTCGTAACTCAAAGGAAAATACTCTCAGTGGAATCTCAGGACTGACACTTGTCAGCGTTTTGGGAAGCTGGTTACTGCAAAGAAATTGATGGAGTTTAGAATTAGCAGTGATACAGAGCTCTTGCATTCATTACAGGATAATTCTTAAAATCCGATGCCCACTTTGATTGTAATCCCTCCAAAGTCAAGATTAAAACAAAATAATCTCCAGAATAGATTTACTGCATTGCTAATGGGCATTAGAAATTGTAACTGGGGGAACCAAAAAGGCTGTGATGAAACCTCTCACGTAGAATTCCTGATAATAAATGTTCTTTACAAGGGGCAAAGGGGATCAGAGTCAGCTCCTGCCCTGCACTGTCCCCGAGGGTCACTCCATGCCCAGCATCGTCCAGATGTGCCAGGTGTTCAGGGAAAAAGGAAATCAAAGCTGACAAAACACAGGTGAATAAATAAACCCCCAAAGGCTTTCCCTGCTCCCCCAGCACCTCGCTTTAAGGTTCCAAGTGTGAAATTGCAGAGGTGAAATCGGGGAAGAGACAACGAGGTGAATGTGGGTGACAAAAATTTCAAAAGAGGGAGAGGATTTTTTAGGGGGATCCCTTCCCAAAGGGGGAGTGGAAAACAAAAATAACAAGTTTTTTTTCTTTCTTTAGCCGAGGCTAAAGGGGCAGAGGATCCACCCGAGCCCTAAAGCCACCCAAACACCCCAAAAAAGTCGATTTTCCAGCCCTTTATCTCCCTCTAGTGCCGCTGCTCCGCCTTGGGCAGGGATTTCCCTCTCCCACACTGCCCTCTGCAGCTCCAGCCCGGCAGCCCAGGAGGAAAAACAAAATAAGTTTTATTATTTTATTTTACTCTGATGCAAAGAGTCCCTCCTTAGATTAGCGGGGGATCCTTCCCGTCAGGACTGTTATAGATACATATTCTATTAATGCTTTAATATTAATATTTAATATAGTTTTATATATATAGTTAATATAGATAATATATAAAATACTATATATTATATAATATACAAGAATTATATATTATAATATATAATATATATAATATATAATAATAAAAATATATATTATATACATATAATTATATATAATATAATATATAATAATAAAAAATTTTATATTAAAATAATAGTTAATATTGACTTTCGCAAATATTAAAATGAATGTTATATGTATAATGTTGGGAAACTTTGATGTATTAATATCGTTTCTTTTACTTCTGTTAGTGAAAAAAACTTAGAAATAGTGCTGTAATATATATATATAAATATATATATTTTAAATAAATAAATAAATAAATATGTGTGTGTATATATATATATATATATATACACACATATATATATATATATATATATTAGGCTGTAGCATGTTATTAAAGTAAAGACTGCTTTAGTTCATATAACCCAGAGACTGAAAGGAGTCAGAAACCCCCCTGCATTCTCAGATTATTTTATCCAGATGAAGACAGCGGTGACTGGAGCTCTGAGAGAGGAATTTATTGAACCTCTGTTATTGGGAGTGTGAGACTGAGCAGAGCCAGGATTGGGAGGGGGCAGTTGAAGCTAAACAAGCAACAAACTAAAACTTTTTCTAAAACTTAAGGGGAATGTTTGGATAATACATGAGCATTTATGAATATGCACCAGATTTCTGTTTTTAGGGGACAATCCTTTACTGCAAGGTGTGCTCCTGGCTGAGGCACCTGGCCGTATTTGTTCATCTGTCTTTATCTCTGTCTCCTAATCGTCCTTTCATTAAACTTTTTAAATGTTACATGAAACAAAAAGTGAACCTCGTTTTTCACAGGGCCAGGTTGTTCCTCACACACACAGGACTCCAGGCCTGGCTGCCCCAGCACAGCACAGGGTCTCTCGTGTGCATCTGACAAGAATCTCCCATTTTCATCTACAAAAATACCAGATTCAGGTGCTATCAAATGGCAATAAGGATGCTCCAGCAGCTCCTGCAAGCACATCAGCAGATTTTGGTCTGGTGTGGGACAGGTGCTCACACAGGCACCACCAGCTGCCTGCCTTGGCTGTGTTTTGTTCAGGAAATTCTTCAGAGGCACAGACGAGCCCACTGCTGTGGCAGGCAGTGATGATTCGCTGCTGCAGAGCTCCAGATGCTCTGCAAGCCACAGCAATGGAGCTAAGTGGAAAATGAGTCATTTAAAAGCATAATGACAATCACAGCATGACTCTGCTGACAGCGAGCCCAGAGATAACGCTGCGAGGTGGATGAGATGTGTTTGCTGGGGCTGCCAGCCACAGAACCCCACAACCACAGAACCCCAGAACCACAGAACCCCAGAACCACAGAACCCCAGAACCCCAGAACCACGGGATCACAGAACCCCAGAACCACAGAACCCCAGAAACACAGAACCCCAGAAACACAGAACCCCAGAACCATGGGATCCAGAACCCCAGAACCACAGAACCATGGGATCACAGAACCACAGAACCCCAGAACCACAGAATCACAGAACCCCAGAACCACAGAACCCCAGAAACACAGAACCCCAGAACCACAGAACCCCAGAACCATGGGATCACAGAACCACAGAACCCCAGAACCACAGAACCCCAGAACCACAGAACCCCAGAACCCCAGAACCACAGAAACACAGAACCAGAAACACAGAAACACAGAACCACAGCATCTCCTGGGCTGGAAAAGACCTCTGAGATCAGAGTCCAAGCTGTGACCTGACAGTTACCCAGAGCATGGCACCGAGTGCCACATCCAGTCCTTTTTAACTCTTCCAGGGCTGCTGACCCTGCCAGCCCTGGCCAGGCTGTCCCAGTGCCCAAACACTTTCTGTGAGGTTCTGCCTCGGGGGCAGCTGCTGCTACCAGAACCCCCAGTACCGGGGTGCTGAGGTGTCCCTGCCCTCTCTGGGGTGTGCAGGTCCCATCTCCTGAGCACAGTTCTGCTCCTCACGGCAGTTCTGCTCCTCACTGCAGTTCTGATCACGGGAAATGCTGTTCTCACCTCTCACCTGTGCCCCAGGTGGGCAGTGCAGGCTCTGCCTGGGAGCTCTGATCATGGGAAATGCTGTTCTCACCTCTCACCTGTGCCCCAGGTGAGCAGTGCAGTGCAGGCTCTGCCTGGGAGCTCTGATCATGGGAAATGCTGTTCTCACCTCTCACCTGTGCCCCAGGTGAGCAGTGCAGGCTCTGGCTGGGAGCTCTGAGCTCAGCTCTCACAGCAGTGCCCTGGCACCAGGGCTGGCTCTCCTGGACACAGCCAGGACCTGGGGACAGAGCCACGTCCAGCACCTGCTGTGGGTGGTGTGGGGAGGGGGAGGAAGGCTCCAGCAGCCTCCTCCTCTGGCCACACAGCCAGCAGAGCCATGTGGGCTGTGCTCTGCTGCTCCTCAGCATCCCCAGAGAGTCAGGAGAGCCATGAAGGGTTCTCCTCTCATGTGGCAAGGGCAGCGAGGGGAGAAAGGGAAAAGCCAGGCCAAGCTTTCTGCTGGAACAATGCAGACAGCTCTGGTGATCTTCAATAAACCATTTTCATCTATGCCCTCAGAAAACCTGGAAATAATTTCTTTCCCTATCTCCAAATGAAACAATTCTCTTGCTTAGCCCTTGGATACTTTCAAAAGGTAAATGGGAGAATCAGACAGATGTGCTGGGACTTTGAGGAGGTCACAGAACAGAACAATAAAATCTCCAGAGCTGGAAGGGACCCACAAGGATCATTGATCAAGTCCTTGAGCTGACACACACAAACTCATTCTCTCTCTACTGTTTGTACAGAGAAGCATCTTTTGTTCCCTCACCACAAGCAATGTGCTTTGCTCTGTGGCACCACGCAATTTAAACTCTCCAAAAGGCTGAATGCTCTGGGTGCAGACCTGGTCCCTGCTATGAAATGTCTCACAGCAAGGTCACTCCTCAGTCTGAGCAGAGCCTGCCCTGCTGGGATTTCTGTCTCACACAACACCAGAGCTCCTCACACAGCAGACCCATAAAAATCATTTACAGCCACATTCACCTTGGCCACCACAGCAGAGCCCTCCCATCTTTCAGCACAGCCTGCACACCTTTCAGGCTCTCTTTAACCACCCTCTTGTGGTGCTGCTGCAGAACAACATCTTTTTCTAACAGGATAAAATAAATCCAGCTCTGCTTCACTGTTCCAGGATTAATGGAGACAAAACTTTACTTTTGGCTGTCAGTAACGGGACATTGTTTGATACCCTCCCCCTTTTTTTTTTTTTAAATCAAATGAACTCCAAACACATAATTGTAACCCCAAATACACTGAGGCCCCAAAACAAGGACTATTGAAAATCTTTAGTAGTTCACACTTGCATTTTGAGTTGTCTGTAAAAGGAAAAAAAAAGATAATGGAATTTTTGCTGCATAAAACAAACCCCCACAACAACAGTGATTCAATGGAAACTATTAAAGGGCTTTGAAGAGGCAAAGCAAAAGATACATTTAATAAACATATTGTGTATGTGACACCTTTATGCAATGAGCTGATTCAATTCTTGCTTAATTATCTTGTCTTGAAACAAAGATGATTGAACTGGGGGTGGATGGCTCAGGTCCTAGGGCTAAATTCAAATTTTTCAGCAGAGAAACATAAATTCAACCAAGAAAAATGCTGCTTTCAGAGTGAATTTCAGTGCTGAGCAATATAATGATCAAACAAGCCACATTAAGTGGTAAAATACAGCAAATCTGCCCTTTAACCAGAACGACCACAGCCCTTACCAGCTTGGGTCAGTAACTGAGCTACTTATCAATAAACAAGCAATACCCATTCCTTCACAGGCAAGTTCAGAAGTCTGAGATGGCACTAATTGTTGATATTGAAGGTTAAAAGTACTTCCTAAAGCAGAAAGATCAACCCAGAAGTTCCTCATCCCCTGCCCCCCTTGGCTCTGCCAGGTTCAGGTTTGTTCTGTTCTCCCAACTCTGGCAGTGACCAAATGGCCCTGGGTCACTCCTGGTGTCACTTCTTGCCTGGCTTTATGCTGGTGACTTTGGGGCTGCCAGCAGCATTTTGCTGTTTATAAACAGGGATAATGCTGAAGTCTGTGTTCCCAGGCGGGCAGAGGAAACAGCAGATGGAAGCAGAATGGATGTGTGAGGTTGTAGGGTGGCAGCAGGATTTCATACTCTGCTCCTTCCCTGGCACTGCACTGCCAGCACACGAGCATTTGATGTTTGTGAGCACCTGCTGCTGAACGCAGCCCCACCGAGGGCACATCAGGAGGGGGATGTGTTTTATGATCAGGAAATGTCTTTGTGCTAGCATGAGCTCAAGGTACCAGAGGAAAAAGGAAGGGTTGTGAGGCCAACAGATGGCAGCTGGAACTTGCACCCTGCCCACGGGCACCATCAGTCCAAGCCCTGGCAGCTGGGGACAGGGCACAGGAAGAACAGGCAGTCCTCACCAGCAGCTCTGCCTCTCCTCAGATAGCAAACTGTGGAGTTTTTACACAGGTTTCCATGGCTAATTCACCAAAACCTTCAGTTTTAGTATGACTGAAAGAATTACTGAAAAGCAGAAAACCAGGCTGGAGCTAAGGCCCAGTAAAGAAAACCAAAGATCAAAACATAGGAAGTTAAAAAAGAAGGGACCAAGCATGACATAAAATAAAGTATTGGGAAACAGGGCTGTTCTCCAAGATCCCTTTCCTACACTCTGTATTTTGCACCTTTGTATTTTTGCTGATAGGAAGCTGCTAAGTGGGAAATCAGCTGGAATTTGGGAAGGTGGGACTGGAAAACCTAAAGCAAAGTCCTGGCTGCTGTAAGCACACCGAGGGTTTTCTATGATCAGAATTTCACACAACCTACAGAATGAATACCTTAATGACTCATTTCATTCCCACAGATGGTATCTGGCATGGTCTTTAACAGACATTAATTTCTTAAATACAAGTGAACTCAGAAATAGAAGATTTAAGACAACTGTCCTGAATGTAAAACCCTTCAAGAAACTCCAAATTGTCTATACCTGCAAGCTAATATCCCTGTATCAAACTTCTGAAAAGCACTGAATGCACCTGAAGAAGTTTAAAAGCATTAAAAATCTTGTTTCATCTCTTCCTACACCTTTCAGGCATATTCCTCTGAGCATCACCAGCACAAGACTCGACACGTGGATCTTCAAAGGCGAGGAGCACTAAATTGGATTGAACTCCAAGGGACTGAAATGCCTCCGTGCTTTCTGGGGCTCTGGGAGTGAGGGTTCATTGGCTTAATTGGGAATTAAGGACCATCAAGAAGAGTTTGCTCAGCACCTGGGAGGACAAGGATCATAGTCTGGACAATCAAGACCACGTTTCTTCCCCCTGAAGATGCTGCCAGAGCTGTCAGGCTCCTCTAACAAGGATCAGATGAGCTGGAAGATGATGCTCTCAGTCAGACTCTGTCTCTCTCACGTCCTTCTGTGGCCATCCAGACCTGCCTTCCTCCACTAACTCAGCTTTTTAATGATGTGCATCCAGCAGACCAAGATTAAATTAAAATCCAATCCAAGCAGGGTGTTACTGTATTTTAAAGAATCCGGACAAGCCAAGGATCTGCTCTCCTTTCAGTTTCTTTTTTCAGGACGATTTTTCAGGAAGCTGGCTTATGAAAGCTTGCCATTTCCTTCACATCTTTAACAGCTCCTCCTCCTGAACAAAACCCCACTGTTGGGAAAAAGGACTTGCTCCCCACAGCAACGATGGGGCACTGCACACAAAGAAGCACCTAGCAGTTTAGTTCACATTTTTTAATAACATGGCACAATTTACATTACACAAGTCTTCGCTGAGGAGGAAACATGCTGAAGATTGAGAGCCGCTTCACTTTTCTGTTCACATAGGATCTAGAAAGGACTTTATTACATACAGGATAAACAGCAAAAAGGTTTGTATATAACAATCTCTTTACAATACTGAAAGCTACCACTACGGTTCCAGTGTACATATTCCTCAGGGTTGGGACTTTTTTGTATTTTTTTTCCTTTTGTTTGTTTAAAAAAAAAAAAAAAAAAAAAGAAAAAAAAAAAAAAAAAAAAAAGGAAGGAAAAAAAAGAAAAAGAAAAAAAAAAGAAACACGGCACAACATCTGGAGTTCACAAAAATCTGAAGCTCACAACTAAACCTTCAGTTGACTACTAAAATAGATCTCTGATCATTAGAAACAACTGTTTGTAGTTAACTTTTTTCTTTTTTTTTCTTTTTTTTTGCCAAAACAGGGTAACAACTTCAGATATCACTTTAATACACTAGAAGACCAATGGAACTAATTTTATTTCATACATATATTTTACAGTCCAGTAGACAAGATATTGAATTCTCTCTGATAAAGTCATATTCTCTCCAAATATTTAGACAAGAAACGTAATGCATTATAAAAAAGTGTGTTATGAAAAGACAGATTTCAGAAGATTGATGCGTATTTTTAAAAAGGACCACGTTCCTTCAGGTTATTTCATGTCTTCTATGATTAGGGAACAACAAGGCTGACCTTTTAACTATTCACAGACTTTATTACCAACTGAAATACAATAAATTCCATTATGAAATCTGCAGCGGAGTTCATTAATTAAACTACTGATCCACAGTGAAAACATATCCATCATTTAGAAAAGTATTCTCTTGCTTGTAAGGATTTGTTTCAATGTAGCTAAAAACCACTTAACACAAAAAAATGTGTCTACAGGTAAAAACGACACACTGGCAGTAAAACCAGACATGAATGGCTATAAGCAGATATTCTTCCCAAAAGAAATTTGACATGTCAAGTGACAAAAGTTCTGGAAAATCTCCAGCATTGGATTATTACCGTTTAACCCAGATTAATATGTCTGAAACCCGATCTGCCACGACTCAGTACCAGTGAGCACAGAGCACTAACCCTGACACCAGCCAAAGGACACACACGAGCTGCCTGATGCAAGGGCTCCCACAGAAAACTCCACCTCTGAAGGGCTGTTTCTTCACCGAAACAAGAGAAATAGGCTTCTGCTAGAAACGAGTTTGTTCAGGGAAAATATGACTTTAATTATGTTGTGTGTTGAAAAGGCTCCTTTGAGTTATAAAGGCTTTTGTGAAAAGCCTTGAAATTCATTGCATAGTTGAAGGGGTTTAGCTGTCTATAACAATATAAGTAACACAGCGTAAGCAGACTGTGTTCATCAATATTAAGTTTGCAAATAGCACAGTTTAAGAAGTATTAATGTATTATGTTACTTAATTTTATCTATTTACATTTGTACAAAGTAAAGCTTTCATCTTACCCTTTTTGCATATATGAACCATTAATCCATGAAGCAATCTTTTTACATAAATATCTACAATTGACTTCACTTCTGGTTTGAAAAGAGCTTTGTAGGGTTGACATTGGTGGTGGCTTGTTTCTAGTCAAATCTCTCAGACTGGTGTCTTGTTCTTCAGTTCAGATTTCCAAACTTTTAAACTAGAAATAAAATAGAGTAGGAGGACACGAGGAACATATGGACTCGGCTAAAAGATCTGGAAAATTTCAACATATAATATACAAAAAAAATCATTTCAAAATCTTTGCACTCAGGTCTATACATATGGTACAGCGGGTCACATCCCCAGTCTGTATCAAGGACTAGAGTAAGGTCTTTAGATTACGTTCATTTACAAGATTTCCGTCCCTCTTTGCTTTTCACCGAGATAAGCTTATCGAGCCTCGATGTCCTTGAGGGTGTGAGAGGGAGGCCTCTCTCTCATCTCCGTGGCCAGAGGAGTAGTCCTTCGTGGGGAGCCGGGCCGGGGCCCCAGCGTGGAGATGAGGGGAGGCGGCGCGCTGAGAGCCGCCGTGGGGGGAGTTTTATTGAGGAGGCCGTTCTGGTGGGCGCCGGGGGGGCTGACACGGGGGTAGTGCATGCTGGGCAGCCCCGGCGCCAGCAGCCCGGGGTGCGGCAGGTGGGCGTCCAGCGCGGCCGGGTGCACCGAGTGCAGGCGCGCGTGCTCGTAGTCCTCGCGCAGCATCTGCAGCCGCTCCCGCTCGTCCAGGTGCGCGCCCCGCTCGTGCTCCCGCCGCGCCTCCACCGACAGCGGGTGGTGGTGGTGGTGGTGGTGGTTGTAGTCGTGGGGCTCCCGGTCCCTGAATGACCTGTCCGCTTCGTACAGCCTCGGCGTGGACAGGCGGTGGAGGGGGTCGTTCCTTAGCAAAAAGTCTCTGCCCAGGGGGTCTCGCCGGTGGATGTCCAGCTCTCTGTAGGGATCTCTCAAGGGATCTCTCATGGGATCCCAGTGGAAAGAAGGATAGGGGAAACGTTCTCCACCGGGAATTGGGCTGATTCCCATGAAAGGGGTCATCATGCGAGTCCTGTCCAGGCCACTGATGCTGTTCATGTGATGTATACCCGTCACACCGACAGTCATGGGCATGGACGCCAAAGGGCTGGGATGGACGTTGGATGTGGATATAGGTGGTGGCTGATCAGACGACCTGTGAGTCTGAGGTCCCTCAGGCTGAACATCGTGGTCTTCCTTTCGCTCTTCCTTCACCTTGACTTCGTTGCTTTTCTTCGTGTTGTCGTAGGCCGGCTCGTTCTTCCTGTCGGCCTCGCGGTTGGAAGTGCTGCTGGGCCTGGTGCTCTCCACAACGGGGGGCCTGGCATAGGGGGAAGGAACCCTGGGCATCTGCTTCGACTCTTCCACCACTCGGCTTTCATGGCTCAGGCCTTCTTTCTCCGAAACGTAGTTGTCCTTCACCTTGTGCTCTTCAACGTTAATTTCCTTCCGAGATTCGGAGTGATCCCTCTCTCGCTCTTTGGGTTTCTCTTTCTCTCGAACCTCGGGGTTCAGATGGCTCCTGATCTGCTCACTCGAGCTGCGGTTATGTCCGAGGGAGTTTACTGGATGGATAGGTGCTGGCGAAGGATGGCTGGAGTGTCTTTTCTCAATGCTCTCCCTACAAGAAAGAGAAGTGTGAAATGAAGGCATGAGAAGCTCTGCAAAGACAACAAAGCATCACAGGGCCTGGCTTTCCACCCGTGGCTTTGCAGAGAGCTGGTGACCTGCACCAGGGAATGCACTGTGCCTCTGGCACACCCAAAACTCCAGCAGAACATCCCATCTCTAAAGCTGGCCTGTTCTGTTATCCCACTGCAGCAGATCTCCAAAGCTGTCCTGTGAAGAATCTGAGACCTCAAACACTGAAGTCCAGAGAAGGCTCCTATGGGACTCTAGCTCTAGGACAAGTATTTCAAAGACAGCAGCCTTAAATGTTTGCAAAGAATGTAAGAAAGAAAAGTAAAAACATTTCATCCAAAAAGTGAGGCAATTAAATCCAAATTACACAGCTAATAGTATTCTACCTACTTCTTCTATTAAGAAAACATTTGGGAAAATGGATTACTATTTTTTCAAATGACTTTTAAAAACATTTCCAGACCTATGTACACTACTAATTTCTCTCCTATATTCTCTTGAAATGTCTAGCTTTTTAATTTACTTCTCACAATTCAATTTACTTCAAACTGAGACAAAATGCTTTTCACATTTGCTGCTTTTACTGATTTTTTTTTTTTCCCCTAATGTTGGGCTGGAATAAAAGAGTCTTTAAAAAACCCCTCCCCAAGTGCAGTCAACCCCAGAATCCCCGAATCCCCTGAGTGGAAGGGATGTGAATGTCCCAGGAGCAATCGTGGCTCTGCAGTGTCACTCCCAGCCAGGAAAGGGTCGCTGCTACAGCTCTGGGCTCTCTGGGGGGACTCAGCTGTCTCAGTGTGGCTGGGACGGGCTGTGGTGCACAGACCATGCCACTGATCCCACAGGAGCCACCAGGGATCTCCACCCAACCAACACCGACCTCAGCGTGAGCACCAAGCTCACAGGGACCTTCCCACTGCAGGCAGGAGTTGAGGTCAGTGCTTCTACCTGGGCCATTTCTGGGTTGATAAGGTTAGAGCCTTGATGAGCAGATGATTCTGAGATGAAATCAAAGCCCTGGGTGTGATTCCCAGCTCCTCCTGCTTGAGCAAGTGTATTTCACATGGATAGCAAAGCTTGGGACCTCAGCTGGAAAGCTCTGTGCTCGCCCCACTGGGTGCCACTGAATGTCGAGGGAGGGCAGGAGAGGCTCTCAGCTCCTCAGACGTTCTCTGCACAGGGACACAGCTCTGGGAAGGGATTCTCAGCTCTGGGAAGGGATTCTCAGCTCTGGGAAGGGATTCTCAGCCTCTCCTCAAACAGGGTGAACACGCTGCACAGGGCAGTGCCCCAGGCACACGGGGCTGCAGCAGGGACTCACTGCAAGCTGCAACTGTGCACGAGGCATGGATGATGCTAAACTCCCAAATTACTGAAAATAAACATGTTCTCAGCTATGATATGGAGTTCAGGCAATGCCAAAGCATCTTGCAAGGAGTGTTTTCAGTAAGGGATTTTCTTCAGCAGAACACTTCATGAGGAAACAACAAAACAGCAACCAGAATAAATAATCACATCATTCCACAGACTACCCAGATCATAGGAACTAAAATGCTTTGCCATTCGAGCCAGTAAAGTTACTCACATGCTTAAGCCTTTTGCAAGACAAAAAAACCCAAATTTGTAACAGCAATTCCTTTTGAAGCATTAACAGCAGACATGAAAATAATGAAGCTATGCTACCAAACAGAAAATATTCCAAATGGAAAATGTAGGTGGAAAGATCTGTAGTTCACCTTTCTTTTAGAACAAGGTAGAAAAGCTCTTCCATGTAGTTTTAGAATATCTAATGTGTTAGCATAACTTCTTTTGGAAAAGGCTACTAGTATCTTTGGGTTAGTGACAGAGAAGTCAGAAAAGCACATCTGAATATTCTTTTAGGTTAAAATATTAGAAACAAATAGCCATTATGTAGTAATGTGCAAAGTTAACAGGAAAGCCATCAAGCCACAACTGAAAAAGCTGAAATCAGCCTCTCTACATTTTTCAAGGAAGGCATGACACTTGCTGAATGGCAAATTCTTATCAATTTGGCACCTCAGAGTTAAGAGGAATTGTTACTGCGTTAACTGAATAATGGGAACAGTCCTGACAAAAAAGTAAATATGACCAGGTTTTACTTTCCATTAACCCTTCCCAGCCTGGACATGTGAGCATGCAGGTCCATGTAAAACACTGAGCAGAAGCTGTGTTGGAAGGTGTGCTAACAGCAGTGCAGGTGTAGGGGCTTCTCTGAGGGGAAAGAAGGTGCTTTTCATGAACTGCATGCTCTGAAGTTTGCTATGGTTTTGGCACATGACATTCCTGGTGCATTTTAGGGTTCTCATCTCACACCTTTAGCGTGGGACCCTCTGGTCAGGTTGGTTTTTAAAGAGGGAGGAAGTGTTACTTGTTTTGCAGACCAGGTCTGATTTACGAAGTTATTTAAGCATTTGAACATGCAGATAAGCATCTGCTGGACTTCAGAATCCTCTTTTCCATCCTGTCAGGCACTACCTCTACGTTAACCCTTCAAGAGACCTAGGACAGCGTGACCCACAAGGTAACAGTGGGTGGGTCTGATTCTATTCCCACTTGACACAGCCTGAACTCCAGCAGAAAGCTCCTTCAGGTGAAGGGTGCAGTGCAAGTGGGAAGAGAAACCCTGCAGAGGGCAAACAGCTGAGCTGGAAACCTGCCTGGTGCGTGGTGCCACCCTGGGGACAGCTCCAGGCGCGCTGGAGCTCTGGGCTCACCACGTGCCAGGCTGGGGAGGGTTAAAAGCGGAACGGAGCCCCAAGCTTTGAACTAGACAATTCTTGGAAGTGTTCTTTCGTACCTTTCTTTGTCATCTTTACTAACAGATGAGTCTCGTTTATCTACATCTCTATCTCTGTCATGAGCTGCAGCAGATGAACTGCGCTCCAGCTCTCCTGGCTTCAGCCAGGGCGGAGGGGTCGGGAACGAAGGAGGAGTTCGGTGCAGTCGGTTCCAGGGCTCGTGAGGGTTGCTAAAGCTCTGCATACTGGGGCCATCCTTGTGGCCGAACATTGAGTTGGGTGCTGAAATGGTGAAGTGGAAAACAAAAAGGTTTAAGAAAAAGGTATGCTCTAGTGGAGGTACTTACCAAAACAACTTTTACAGCACTCAGAGTTAAAATGAATACATATTATTGGGAGCTGGAAAAGGAAAGGAAATTAACAGAGATTCATTAGAGGGTCTCATTCCTAAAAATGGGCAGGCATCTGACAGCTCTTTTAATTGGAAAGGGAAATGCTGTGGATAAAATTGACAAGGGATGAAGGAGGAAGGTAAAAGTGACAATGATCCTTATTCCAAATGTTTTGGAGACATCAGGAAATGACCGTTATAGGGGCTATAAATAATGGAACTTGTTGCGTTTGATCCTGAACCAAAATCAAATAATATGTGACCAAAATCATGCCAGATTTGAAGGATGAAGAAAGAGAGTGACTTTTAAAAGGATGATTTTCTGCAACTGGCTAAATTTAGAGAAATGTTGATGACCCTGGACTACTAAATGCACGTTAGTGATCGTTTCCAGGCACATGGCCTGGATTACTGGTGAGAAAGGAAAAAAAAAAGCCAGTCTCCATCCACAGCTCCCTAGCTGCACACATTATTTACTTCTGAACATGCAACAAAACCATGGGAAACTTCACAAACACTCCAAGGCTCTATTTTATTTTATTTTTCTTTAAATGAATAATGCAATGGCAACATTTAGCACTAGGTTAAACCCGAACTATTAAGTAATTAACAGAGAAGGAGACTAAAATGAAGAGATTTACTGCCAGCTGGAAAAGGCTGCTTTCCAATGCCCATCTCTTAGCGGTAGGTGATGCAAGGCAGCAGGAGCAGAGGGAGGGAGCTGAGAGTGGCCCTGCTGAGCTGCAGGGCAGGGAGTGGGTACTCACTGACTGTGGGGTTCCCGAGCCCCCCGAAGGCGTTGCTGCCCACGGCGGTCAGGCCGCTGAACGACGCCGGCCGGTTGAAGGGCTCTGCAAACCAACACAAACAGCTGAAAGCCCTGAGGCTCACAGCTCCCAGCCAGCAGCGCTGGGGCATCCTCCTGCACACCCCAGCAGTGCTGGGACAGCGTCCCCACACACACTGCAGGGCACAAAACACTGCCTTGGCTCCTGGCCATACCCGTGCCATCATCCACTAAATAACTCCCACTTAAAGAAAATAAAGATCTTCAAATGGACATGATATTTCATTTGGAACCTGCAAACATCTCCAGTTTTGCTTTGTTTTCTTCCTCAGGAAATGTCCCTTGCTAGTTGGACTATCATTAACTCTGGCAACTGCTCTCCAAACACCTTCAGGCCATGTCTGCTAAACTAGAGCCAGGGTATAAATAAAATGTCCTGTTCCACTGGTATGTCCTGCTGGCCTGAGCATTCTGTGATTCCCTTGGTGTTTATTGCTAATATTATAAAAAATACTAGTATGGACTGGAAAATGCTGGGACAATTATTTTAGTTAATGCACACAGGCAACAGGAAAATCATATTAAGAAAAATCTCACTTTATTTTGGAGCAGTCTAACAATTCTGATGAAGTCACTTCTGATAAATACCAGCACAGAGAAAAAGAAGCCCAAAGCCAGCATTTTCCATAGGCAGGAAGACACAGAATGATAAACCTGCATTGTCTGTTTGCTGTATCAGTTTGGTGACCCTCCCAAATCCTTCCCTAAGCAAAATAAAATGCCAATTTAAACTCTTGGTCTTGGATGCTCCCATAAGGAGCAGATTACCTTATTACAAAAGCAGTAAGTTAGAAAGGACACAACAACATCTGGGAACTTGTTCTGTTTTAAATGTGTACTCACTAATTTTCACCAACTGACACATGAAGCCAGATCACGACATTTTAAAGCTATGTTTCCTAATCACTTCAATGGAAAATCAGATATCCAAGCAGGAGTTAGGAAGAGAAACATCTCTGTGATCTGCAGCCTTGTCCTTAAGGCATTTTTTTGACTGGTTTTAAGCATAACTCCAATGAAACCCAGCCAGCCCTGCCACTCTGCTCCTCTGAAGCCCAGAAGTATTTCAAAACACAGCCACTGACACTTTTCTGCATATTTAGAACTTCTACCTGGGTAAAGGCTAAAATGAAACAGCTAAAATGTGCCGTTTGTAAAGGTTAATAAGCAGAACAGTCTCCACACAGGAAGCCTGTGGTTTCTCAGTGCCCAAAGCCTGCATTCCCCAGGAGCTGAGAGAAGACGTACCTAAGTGAGCAGCTGGGTTGAGGAAGTTGCTGTGATGGGGTGGTGGCCCAAAGGGGGTCCCAGCTGGGTGCCCCCCACCTGCAAAACAAAGCAAAAGGGGTCAGTTCCCAGCAGAGGCTCCCAGAGGGACTCGCTGTGCTCGGAGCTGCCCCTCCCTGAACAGCTCCCGAGAGCAATGCCCTGCGTGGGGCTCTGCAAAGAGCAGCTGCTCCTCCAAACAGGAATACTCAGGACAAGGGATGATGGGGAATGAATGTTTCAGGTCAGAAACAAAAAGGAAATGCAGCTTATTTGCAACATCTCCTCTCCACCATGCATCAGACATCACGCTGTGAGGAAATGTTCCTTCATTTACTACCTGTGCGGTGTTTCAGCAGGTTGGGCTTTTTATAAAAGCATACAGAATCATTTTTAATTATTTATCAAATAGACTAATAGCCCCTGGCATGTCTTGCAGAGAGTTCATAAGCCAAAGCATGAGGGAAATTCATGGCAAGGATTAGCATTTTAATGAGCAGGGAGCAAGAAGGGCATTTCATTTTCAGTACTCACTGGCTGTGGAGAAGAGAGTTGAGGGCCGAGCCAGGTCATGGGGATGGTGGATGGCTCCAAAAAGGCTGGGGCCTGGTGGTCTGCTCAGAAATTCTGGTTTCAGGCCAAAGTCCAGCTTGTGTGGATCAGACTGCATCTGTTTCTGAAATGGAAAACAGGACTTGGAAGAGACTGTCTGAAAAGGGAACAGCAAAAGGCACTTCCAGAAGGATGTGGGTAGAGCAGTTCATTCATGCTGATGTTTTAACAGGAATATTGGTTTTTGGGACCCCGAGCACAGGTGCACAGCTGTTTTCCTGGAAGGGAGATCTAAGGCAAAGGGGGGAAAGCTCAGGCTCCTGCATATTTCCTGCTAATTTCACCAGTGTTTTCACATCCACCCCTCCAGGGTGTTCAGCACACAGCAAACACAGAACCCTCAGAAGAGGCCTCAGACAGTGGCTGAGCTGCAAGGACAGGCTGTCCCACAACAATAAAGGGGAATGCCAGCCTGGCCCTGCTCCCAGGAGCGTTGGAAGACCAGACACGGAGAGCAGAACCGCTCATTCCCAAGGGAAAGCTGCCACCAACAAGTGCTGGGTGCAGAACATCCTCCAGTGCCCCCCAGGCTGCAGCGAGGGGCTGAAAGGAAGCAGAGTGCAGAACAGGAGTGGCTGAGTCCCACTCTGACACCTCCCACTCCACACTCCAAGGGCTGCAGGTTTTCATTTGTGTTGGATTCAGCAGGACCCCATCTGTGAGGGCAGTTTGCTGGGGCAGCTGTGAGTGAGAAGTGGATGAAGGACGGGCTCCTCCTTGTGCCACATCCTCGTTTCAGTGGTGCCCACTTCAGCAGTTTTACAGCATGAAGGAAGAAAACCAAATTCCCAATTACCTGTGCTGCCAGAACTCCCTAAATGCAGATTGCTGATTAATTGTGCAGGGCAGCTGAAAGGATTTATAAATGGGTAACATAGAGCCAGGAGATCTTAACAGAAATTCTGGAGCAGGCCACGCTTTATAAATCAGTATTTAATACTGTGCCAGCCCCAAGTACAGACTATTACAATGATATAAATATGCATATTAAAAAGTTATGATCAAATTAATGTGCATGCCTCGTAGCTGTTTTTCAAGTGCTAGAAACATGTCTGGGTAGTCATGAGAACAAAAAAAAAAAGAAATAAAGAAGGAAAACAAGAAATAAAGAAGGGAAACAAAGGCGTTATCCATGTCTGGAGATAATGGCCTGCAAGAATACTGAAATGGCAAAGGTGGCCAAGTCAAGGTCACATCTTTTAAGGAAGTAACACTGAAGTGCTGTAATAGTTAAAAGGATGTCAGAAAATACAAATGCCTTGGCTGAAGCCTGTGTGCCAGATTTTTATGCTGTGAACTCTTTTTATTCTTTTTTAACAACTGAGTTATAAACCCTTGACAGGCATTGCTCAGAAAAGCAAAAGCTGGCTGAAGCTTTAATTGCAGCCATATGAATGGTGCTGCTCTAAATAATGAACAAATCCCCTGTCTGAAGAGGAACAGGAATACCATGGATGCATTAAAAGATTTCTGAATGTGTTGGTTTACCTTAAAATAGTAGCAGGGAATGGTCAGATTTCTTTTCTCCCCAGCTGCTGTTCAGGAGAGCAGCCCCTGGATGCCAATCCTGCCTGATGTATTTCCAGAAAATGTGTAACAGCTGAGCGTGGTGCCCACAGAAATCAATGTAAATCTCTGCACTGCTCTTAGATCAGGCTGTAAGGCCTTTCCTAAAGGAGAGAGGCCCAATTATGGAGCATAAATCCTCTCCTGGGCAGTGGGCAGTGTAAGGAGCAGTGTAAATGTGCTCTGTGCCCTGAGCTGCTGCGCAGTCCCCGGGGTGTGCAGAGGTCACCCAGGTCTGGCTGCAGAGGCTCAGGCAGCCAAACAGCATCCACAGCTGCATGCAATTCTTCCTGAGGTCAGGAAGGTTGAGTTTTAAAGTTTCCCATCCTGCCTGCTCCTTCAGTGCCTGCTGCTGCCCTCTGCAAGCAATTACCAGGCCAGATCGTTACTGGCAGCATCCTGGGGCAGCAGGGGGAAACTGGAAATCAACACATTTGATTCCCTGCTCTGTGCTCAGGCAGCACCTGCAGCTGGAGCAGAAGAAAAGGCACCTTCAGAAGCACGGGAGGGAGTGTGAGGAGGAGGAGAGACTGTCCTGTGTGAGACACAGATTCACCTTTTGTGGTCACACAAGGAGGGGGGACCCCAACTCTCCTTACTGACCAAACACAATCATTCCTGCAAATATCATCATGCACAGCCTCAAAAACTCCAGCAGCACCCTTTCATGTGCTTCTGGGCTTTATTCTTGCTCTTTTTTTAATAGGCAAGGTAGAATATATGAGGTAAGAGAAATGGCTGCATGAAAATGGCATTTACTGTGAGTTATAAATATCCTGGTCTGACCTCTGTCTGAATATCAAATCAAGAAAGATTCAAAGGACATAGATAGCATGGGAATAATAATTTCATTTCAAGAAAATACCTTTTCAATAAAATAAAAAAAGGACATATAACTCTCTAGGTCTATAATCTTGTCTTTTTTGATAATGGGAAGATGAATGAAGATCACTAGCAGGGGAAACATAAGGAAGCAGAGAAGAGAGATATGTCTACTGCAGCAAATTAACCTGTCAACCTTGTTTAAAAGGGTTATTTTTAAACTCTATTAGCTGCAGGTTTTCATAGCTGCTCAACATCTTCATATTCTTATAGCACTACCCTACACAATTCAAGTGCACACACAGACTGCAAAGTGCTAAGGATTCCCTGGCAATATTAGTTTCTAACACAAGTTATTGATTCCTGAAGTATGAGCAGTGCAGAACAGCAGCCATTCCTGACTTACTGAAAAACTTCAGGGGCAACACGAGATTTTTAAGTGATGAGTCCATTGAAAATACCATAAAGGGAAAGAAACTTTCCCAGAGTCCATGTGCAATGGAAATTCAGTTACAGTAAGAATGGAAAACTGCCCATGGCCTTCACCCTTGGTGTCTCAGAGCTTGTAAAATAATTGAGACAGGACTTCTATTCCCTAAGCTTCACCCCAGTGAGGCAGTGTCTGCTAACACAACATCCCCTGAGAGGCTGTGCCTGCCTGGGCAGCCACACTGGGTAAATCATCCTAGGGACAGGAGGAACCTTCCTGCCTCCTCTCCTGCCCCTGAAGCAGATACACATGCCCAGTGTCTCCAGAAAAAAAATCCCACTTGATACATTTGTGTCCTGAACCATAAACAAACTTCATTTATTCACCCCTCCATTTCACCCCTCCCAGCTGCAAAGCTGTAGCCACTGCCCCAGATCTGCTGTCCTGCCTCCAGCACACCCCAAACGCTCTGCTGGGACTCTCTGCCTTCATCCTTCCACCAGCCCTCACAAATGAGGCTGCTGCTGAGTGCTGTGAGCGTTACTTTAGCAAGGCCATGGCACACAAGTGCCCAGGTGAGAGCCAACCCTTCCTCTCTGAGCTCTGCTCTGTGCCCTCTGCCCCCAGCCCAGGCACTGACCTTGACTTTCTGTTGGTGGTGGTAGATCTGCCAGGCGATGTGAACGTGCATAGCACACCACTTGCCAGGTTTCTGCAAAAACAAGACATCAATCAGTAACTTTCAAAAACCTGTGATGCTTTATTCTATTTCTAGAGGCAAACAGACCCTGAGCCCTGTCTGGTTTGGACTGGGGGATCCCCACGCCAAGACAACTGAAAGCAAAGGCTTCCCTCTCCATCCTCCTGGAAATCCAGAAGTGGAAAGGCTTGTCCCTTGCTAGGGAATTTATCTGGCTATCCATGAATGCTCCTGTCATGCTCTGATGCTGCTGGCTGGGAGTGCAGCTTGCTGCTGGAAGCTGTGTCCCAGGCACAGCTGGACTGTGCACAGCTGGACTGTTCACAGCTGGACTGTTCTGTCCCTCAGCTCATAAATGTACTGGAAACACTGGAGGTCACTCGATTCATTCTGTTTTGGGGGTCTTTGCTTCCTCCCTGTCCCCCCAAGTCACAGGGAGCAAGAACCAGAGTGTTTGTTTGGCCTCCTGTTGAGTTTGAGCTCCATTTCCAGCACAGCTGGAAAATGTCTGAAAAAGGCTCATTTGAGAGAGACTTTCTCCAGTTTTGTTACTCAGGGGTCTGCAGTTACCTACACAAGTAACAACTCCTGCAGATTTAAAAATTATCACAGGAATTCAAGGGTCTCCTTAAGCTACTTGTGAATTAAATGTTCACAAATGATGGCACATGGTCTGCCTTCTATCTCTAGCTGTTTATCAACCAACAATTAAATTATAAAAAAATGAACTCTGTCTCACAGACACACTACCCTAAACTCAGCCTTTTTGCTAATTTGCAAAAGCTGGCTGTGCTAGTGATTTACTAAGTTCACTAAATCAAAATTTATAGTTTTTTCTTGAATATGCTGGAAAATTAACAAAAGCTCCTTTTGGATGAGTGATGGACTGGATCTTTAGATCTTTATTTCTAAAGTATTTTGTGTTTGAAGTGGATTGTCTGTCTGTAGTGGACAATGAGATACCTGGGTGGGAAGTCCCACTCTGAATAACACTGCAAACATGCAGTAAAATAATAAAGCAAGCTCCTTCAGAGTGCAGTGAAACAACAGGGAATCACTGCCAGGATCTCTGGGATTTGCCTCAGGAAACCATGATGGAAGGATCACCAATATTTAACCTCAAATATTCACAGGAGGGGTTGCACGAGAAGAGCAAAACTTCCAAGTGTGAAACTCTGCCTTGTCCTTGGGCGAGCAGGAGCTGCAGGAGTGCTCTCCCCAAAGCAGGGCACAACTGCCCAGGTGACACCTGGCAGCTCTCATTTGGAATTATTCTCTGCTGCAACCTGGTGGGACTGAGCCGAGCTTGACAAACGGGAGCACAGGAAGATTTCTTACCCTCAACATGGGCCTGAACGGATCTGTCAACTGTGAAGAAGAAATGACAGCTTGGTTACACGCCTGTCACTCAAACAACTGCTCTAATTAACAAATCTGTACTGCTTCATTAAGAGACGAAATTAAAATGTTAGAATTTTACTTTCAAATGAAGCCCTTTTGGATAATAATTAGTCCTGAGCCTCCATCTCGGTGCTGTCCCCTTCCCCTGGCACCTGAGTGGTGACAGCAGCTCCAGCAGGCTCACACCGAGCTCTGGCCCCTGGCAGCAGCAGCAATTTGTTGATTTAATGCTGCAGGAATGGCTGGTGAACTGCACTGATGGAGGCACAGCCCTGTCCTTTGGGCAAACTCCTGCTCTCATCTTCCAGAGCTCCTCAGCTCGTGGCAAGACTGGAAAATGGACAGGGCTCCATCCCAGAGAAGGGCTGGGATGGCTGGAATGGGATGCCAGCAGTGTGCCCACCCACCAGCCAAGGTCAGATGGGCTTTCCCTTAATTATTTCCACACTGAAACAGATGTTGGTAAACAAGGCCCATATAAAAACCCAATTTTCTCATTTTTATTTTTGATGTGGCCTGTTGGGGCTTTTTTTTTTTTTTTTGGAGTAGATGATTTTCTTATTCCCCTTTTTTTGCTCATATTTCACCAATAAATGCTGGGAAATAATTCAATTTATTGGGTACTGCTCATTTGTTTTGGATTTTCTCTTTTGAAATGCAATACTAAAGGAGATTTATAGGTGCAGAAGGTACTTAGCAGACGCAGTGATGGCACAATGCATCATCTTGAAATAATCGAAACTCACTCCCAGTTGAATGGGAACATAAAGCTAAATGACTTCCTGATGGGAGCTCTGGTTATCTGCACTTAGATAAACAAACAGAAATGTGGTTCCTTTTGGGGTAAAGCACTGGAACTTGGCCCAAGGCAAAGACAACAGCTCTGGAAGCTCAGCCATGCCACAGCTCGGAATTTCAGGAGAGCTCCTCAGTGCTTCTGTCTGGGAGTTCTGCTGAAAATATTTAAGTGTGAAGCTCCTCATGGCAATAATGGCCATGAATTCAGACACACCAACACCCCCTGGGCAGAGAGGCAAAGTGCTGAGGCAATAAATGCTGTTCACATCCGCTGGAACTCAGAAATCCAGAGGCACCGAGTGATCAATAAAGTGCATCCGTATTTCACTGGGGCAATCAATGCTACAGTAACCCAGGGAATAGCTGTCATTACCCACATTAAAAACAATTATAGACTACAAACACAAATCCTGGGGAGGCTTGTACCTTTTCTGTGTTGAATTGGACTTTTATGCTCTTACCCCTGGGCCTGGGGGGGGAGAGAGCTGCCAGCAAGGACAGAGCTCTGCCACTGCACAGGGGCTGTTTGAAATGCTGCCACACAACTTCTGCAGGAAACAGCTCACACAGCTTTGGTTTCAGGCTGTTAATTTGGACATACTGAAGATGACAGCTCTAGCATTCAAGGTTTCAGGAGGAACAGATTTACTTTAGAACAAGGAAATGATTTTTACAGACCCGTGGATCCTTCTGTAGAAGGGTATGTGGGACCGTTCCAGGTCTGGCTGCAACATCAATGGGATTGGAAGTCTGGAAATTCCACAAGGAGAGACAACATTAATGAGCTGCACAACAGTAACAATGCCTACAGGCAACAGAATGTGCAAAATAATAGTTCTTTATCATTGCACTGTCTAAGCAATGGAGATAAACTTCTTATAAAGGAAAGGAGAACCAGTAATGTGTTATTATCTCCACATCCACACTTTGACTGTCCACCAACTTCCCATGAGTTGAATCAAAACCACTGACTGTTTAAACTGGAAAATCATCTAATGTGAAAAACCTGATTAGGAACACATTTATGAAACAGCATCAAAAGCAGCATTTGGAGGAGCCAGCCCCTGCTCTGCTGATTACCAGTGATGCACTCAGCACACAGAACATCACAAGGACCTCAGCTCCATCCACAGGCACTGCCACAAGATGGATAGCAGGAAAACATCCAGTTGGAAAAAATTAAAGCCCTTCCCATTATTTGAATGTAAAAACACAGTTAATGAAACTTTGCAGTTTTGTGGAACCCCCCCAACAATAACAAAACAAGAAAAATGAAGAAAAAACCCCAACAAACAAAAAACAACCAAAACCCCACAAACCCCTACATTTAGATAGAGCTTGTTCCTGTGTCAAAATGAAGAAAATAGAAATCAGCTCCAGCACAACTAACAATTAAATAAGGGAGTTGTTAACAACCTGATTACCATACAGACTAAGAATCCCACTAATGAACTGATTTACATATTCAGTCATTAGAGTGGATGGGCCAATTTAAGGAAGAAGGTGTCTCCTCTGCAGAAATTCCACTCCTGATTTCAGTCTTTAGCTGCAAAGACTGACTTCCTCCCACTGATAAATAAATGAAAACCAAAGAGAAAAGCCCTGAAGTTGCCACATTTCTGTCCCCCAGCTATCACCCATGAGGAGAGCCAAATCAGTGTTCTGCGCTGTGCTGGAGGTAATTATGGAAATAAGTAAACAATAATGAGCACCATTTCTTAAAATCCTGATTATTACATGACCTTTCATTCATGCACACTATCTCAGAACTAATTACATTGCTTCTAAAGTTAACTGTGCCTTTATATAAATAATTTTAAAAATAAAACTGTTTGTAGATGCATCTGAACCTAATGAGAAATAACTCCTCTTTGTGGTAAATCTGGAAAAAGGCAATTGTCCCCTGTGGAATGAAGGCCTAAGAGCATTCTGTCATGGCAGGGTGAGCAGTTCCAGGGAATTCTGTCTTACCTTGGGCTGGAAAGCTCCTTGCAGCGAGCCAAAGGGGCCGGTGGGAGGGATCATGGGAGGAATCCCTGATACAGCTGGGGGATAGGAGTGAAACAGCTGCAACAGAAAAGAGAAAAAACCATCAGCACTGGGTCAGCACCAGCACAGTGAGGAGAACACAGACAGCATTCCTGCAGAACAGTAGGGAAATGTTACATGGAGGAAACTGAGAGGCATTGAAGTGATCTCATTGCAACGATGTTAGTTAAAGCAGTCGATGGGATGTTCACAGATGTCGTGAGGTTTAGAGCTTAAAAGCAGTTCCAAAATCAGACAGCCAGCAACCTGGACCTGCCTCGGGCCACCAGAGCCTAAGGGAGACGTTTGCTCCTCAATTATTAATTTTTAAATTGGAGAGAGGTTTTAAATGGTTTCAGTCTGTGGTGCATTTCAAGAGAAAAGGCAGAATCCTGAGCTGAATGAGACTGAGAAATCTCCTGTTTAAGTGGAAAAAAAACCCTTATGAGTTCTAGGATATTGTATCATTAAAACTCCATTAGTAGGTTGGAATTTTAATGGTATCTGTAGGAAATGAGGAAAATATGCACAATTCTTACTTCATTAGCCTGTCTGAGAGGATATCCTGCCACATTTAATATTAGCAGACAGACAATCTGATTTTTTAAAGATTAGAATTTACACAAAAAGTTAAGGCAGAACCTCCCAGAAATGTATGGGAGTTTTTTTATGAAGAAGAGACTGCTCAGCACAAAAATGTACCCATCTCCACTGGCCTGACTCACCCAAGTGCTCTGTCCTAAGGAATTTGGGAAAAAATGAGAGGCTGCTCTGTGCTAACACAGAGCAAACACAGGTAAACAAGGAGGTAGATGAAACAAATAAATTGTTTCCTGTGAGGGTGGGCAGGCCCTGGCACAGGGTGCCCAGAGAGGCTGTGGCTGATCCCTGAATCCCTGGAAGTGTCCAAGGGCAGGTTGGACGGGGCTTGGAGCAGCCTGGGATGGAGGAAGGTGTCCCTGCCACGGCAGGGGTGGAAGAGATGATTTTTAACATCCCTTCCAGCCCAACCCACCCTGTGATTTCGTGATAAACCATCACACACCAATGTGCCCTCGTCTCTGTGCTCTGCCAGCGAACCTCTGGCTCTTGCTGTGACAGAAAACTCTCCCCATTCAGTGAAAATGCTGCTATCACACACCAAACTGCTTCCTGGCAGGAGTCAGGGACTCAAAGCATCACACTCCAAAGGCATTCTCAGCACGAAACCTCTGGATCTCCGAGGGGATGGATCTGGGAGGGGCTGGGGCTAAGAGAGGATGCCTGCCAGCTCCACTGGAATTGCCACCCAAAAACCTAACAGGGTTCTCTGGCTGACACCAATTCCCCCCTGACCATGGCTGAGCAAAGTCAAACCACTGTGTGCTACTTTTAAGATCAAAATAAATGAGTTAATGGCTAATTGAACAGAAGCAGGACTGGGCAAAGTCAAAGACTACACATGAGGGGTGGGAAAACACTGAGCAAATCCCATCCCAGGGTAAACCAGGACCACAAAGTTGTGATGGATTTGGACACGCCAGGCATACACGTGTGCTTTTCTTCATCTTTTTCCCTTCTAGCTTATCTTGCAAGGACATTTATCCATATTGTATTTACTGAAAGCTGAGAAAACATTTCAGAGGTATCAGAAGATTTTCTCAGTTTAAAAGCCTGGTATTGAGCCTCTGTTCATGTTGCTGCTGTTGTTTTTAATTCTATTTAATTTGGACCTGCTCCACCCAGTGGCGCAGAAAACATTTTGAGATTAGTTGATACTGAACTGTAGGCATTTGAGAAACCATTAGGAGACATTTGTCCTCAATTACAATAATTTTTAATGAGTAAAATGTGCTTTAAATTCTCCAGTGTCTTCTGTCTTTAATTCTCTGTGTAATGTTCTAATTCTAACTGATGGGAAAAGATGTAGTACTTCGTATTCTATTGACTATGACTAATAATAAGAAATTCTTTCTTCAGTTTTACAACAACTGGCAAGTTAATCAAATGTGACCTTTCCTCAAGGTCAGAAGTGTTATTAAAAAATAAATAGTTTATCTCCATGATTAATTTGTATCAGTTAAATTCCTCCAGCTTTCAGAATCCACCTTTCATAGTCAAGTGCTTCCTTCTTCCCAAGTACTCCCTCTCTTCTGAGCAGCAGCTTTCCCTTCCAGCTTTCCCTGGGGAAACCTGCAGTGACCACAGCTTGCCTTGGCCAGGTGTGCGTGGTGCTCACCTGGCAGCAGCTGCAGGTAAAAGCAAAGCCTCACTGTGCCACAAGAGAGGAAATAACACTGATGGAAAACTCAGCAATAGCTTCTGTGTGAGCTGCACTCCCTGTTCCAAACTAGATGGATTTGAGGTCTCAAACAGACCCTGCTCTCCTCCAAAGTTCACCCACACTCACTGCCAGCTTTAAGGAATCTGAGTTCCAGGTGTGCACCTACAGTGGAAGCTGCTGTCCCTGGGAGCTGCTCTGTGCAAATGCCACGTTCTGACAGTATTTGTGTTTCTCCAGCCCAGCTCCCATCCCCTGTGCCCTGAGCAGTCCCAGGGTGGCACCAGGGGACACTGGGCTGGCCTGGCTGGGCTCAGTCTATCCCCTGAAGCCATGTGAAGCTCAGTAAATCCAGTGCAATTTCACCCTGGTGAGCAGCAGTGCCCTTTGCAGTGGAAGTGGGAATGAATGTTTGCCCAGTGCTCCTGGAGCTCTGGGCCTGCACACACCGAGCCCTGGCTGCTCCAGTGAGCTGCCAGACACACACAGCATGGGCTGGGAGCAGGGGTTCTATTTAATACAGACACCAGTGTCTTAAACAGGTTTGTTTTTTTTGCCCAGTTCCACTTCTAAGCAAAACCAACACATAAAGCCAAATGCTCTGCAGATTTCTGAGTGCTGATGCAGTACTCCTTCTCTCATCAAAATATTGCTCTTGAATTAAGAAACTCTTGCCAGACACCTGCCTCTGCCAATAGGAGGAGGAAAATACAACCCAGAGTTCAGCAGCAAATCAATCAGTGGATTCAAACCCTTAGGAGCAGAAGCTTTACATTTAACTGGAATTTTAAAAATCAGTTCATCTCAATAAGTAACATTTTTGGTAGCTTAGATAAACACATCTAGTGCATGGCTGGATTCATGTTGCTGTCATCAAACAGAGCTTTCAAAACACAGCAAGCCCAGTGGATCAGATGAGCTTTTGAAATCTGAATAATAAGACAGGTTTTCAGATTTTATCAAACAAAATATGATAGATTGGGAAAACTATTAGATTATCTGTCCCTGAAGGATTTGTATGATAGTTTGTCAGTTCGTTTCAAGTTCCTTAGCAAAAATATCAGCCCAAGGGTTTGTGGCACAACTGAAACACCGTGATGGGATCACTGCTCTCCCCTGCTTCACAAAACAGTCAGCTCTTGTGTCTCATCTTTTCACATCAAACCTGCCTCCAAATGGTGTGTGAGCAAGAGATCTTTTGACTGGAAAAGCTGATACTGCATCTTTATCAGAAACAAGCACCACGAATGCAAGCCTTCAAAAGCCAAAGCAACCAAGGACGATAATGGTAAATCCTGGAGTGATGATTAGGGAGAGATTTGACACTGTGCCATTGATTGAGTGGTGATCCCAACCCACCACAGAAAAGCAGTGGAAACAGAGCAATAAAACTCACACTGTGACGGTAGAAGGGGTCAACTTTTGTAGGATATTTGTCAAACTGCAAAGGGATCAAAGCACAAACTAGTTACTTTCTATTTCCTTGCTTTACTTCTGTTGGCAAAATAGAAGACAACTTCTCTATTATTTGGCAACCAACAGAGAGGAAGAAATATGCAGAAAATTAGTTTCCAGTGAAACTGTTCAGGGTTTTTTATTTTCTTCAAAGTAAATCAAGACCTTTTTGGGACAGGACGAAGGAGGAGGGCCCAGAGTGAACACTCCAAGCAGCACTGGCCAGAGCCTCTCCCCTCAGTCCTGTGCTGCCCCCTGAACCTCACACTGTGACAGGGGGACAGCCCTGCCTCTCCTGCCCAGACACCCCTGGGCAGCACAGGAGCCCTTTCCCCACCAGCTGGCAAATTCTCCACAATACTTTTGTAATAAAGAATAGAGTTGTGCTCTACTTATCCTCACATTTCTGCCTGGGGTACGCACCATGGGCGGTGCTGGCGTCGGCATGATGGCAGTGGGAGGGATGGCGTGGGGAAAGGGCGTGAAGGTGTGCTGGTGGGTGTGTTGGTGTGTGTGCTGGTGCTGGTGCTGGTGCTGGTGGAACTCTGTCCTCAGGTAGGGCGGCGGGCCCAGCGAGGCCCCGCGGTCGGCGCTCTGCGAGGCCAGGAACCGCGTGTTCAGCTCCTGGCGCAGGAGGTCTTGCTCTGAAACACAGAACCACACAGGAGCAGCATTAACGGCCTTGGGAAAGACCTTGGAGATCATCCAGTCCAACCCATGGCCCAGCACCACCAGACCATGGCACTCAGTGCCACATCCAACCTTTTCCTGAACAACTCCAGGGACGGTGACTCCACCACCTCCCCGGGCAGCCCGTTCCACTGCCCAACCACTCTTCCTGTGAACTTTCTTTTTTTCTAATGTGCAGCCTAAACTTCCCCTGGAGCAGGGGAAAAAGGCTGTGTCCTCTCATCCTGTCGGTGTTCCCTGGGAGCAGAGCCTGACCCCACCTGGCTGTCCCCTCCTCTCAGGGAGTGATGGGGTCCCCACCTGGCTGTCCCCTCCTGTCAGGGAGTGATGGGGTCCCCACCTGGCTGTCCCCTCCTCTCAGGGAGTGATGGGGTCTCCCCTGAGCCTCCTCCTCTGCAGGATGAACACCCCCAGCTCCCTCAGCCGCTCCTCACAGGACTCAGACCCCTCTCCAGCCTTGCTGCCCTTCCCTGGACATGCTCCAGCATATCCCAGTGTCCATCCTGAACTGGGGGGGCCCAGAACTGGACACAGCACTCACGGTGAGGCCTCACCAGCACTGAGTACAGGGAAAACAAACAACAAAACAACTCCCCCAAACTCTGGGGCTTTTCCAGGCCTTGTGCCACTTCCTTTGCTATCTGTGGCAGCAACGCTTCACTGAAAATGTCCTGGTGACAAATCATGACACAGTACAGGGTAAGAGAGCTCCCTCAGGTCTTCCCTCAGATCTCACAGGCCTGAGACATTACAAAGTCTGCATCTCCCCTCTCCCCAAGCCTGTTCTCACACTCCTCTGAGCATCTGTGGACATGGACAGAGTCCTAAATAGGTGAGGATGGACAAGCAAGCTGGAGTGAGCAAACAAGTGGCTGCTGCTCACATGAGTGTGCTGGTGCCTGGACACAAATTGATGCTACACAAATGCTCCATTTTCCCCCCCTCAGTGACCTGCTGAGGCCCTGGCACAGGCTGCCCCTGCATCCCTGGCAGTGCCCAAAGCCAGGCTGGACTTTGGGGCTTGGAGCAGCCTGGGACAGTGGGAGGGGTGGCAGGGATGGCACAGGATGGGCTGTGAGGTCCCTCCAACCCAAACCTTGTGAACACCCCTGAGCTCAGCCAGCACAGACCCTCCCTGCAGCCAGGGAAGCTCTGCTGGGCACACACCACAGCTGCATGAAGACCTTTGCTGTGGGGGTCATGGATTCTGTGTGGGCACCTGATGAACTCCGCTGTGCTCTTGCTGTGGGTTGAACTAAACAAACCTGGGACAACATCGCTTTCCAAAAGCAGCCACTCCCTGGGCAGAGCCAGCCCCTGGCTGTGTCCAGGTGTTTGTCTGGCTTTGCTGTCCCTTTGCCCA